CACTCTCCATGCTGCTGGCCAGGAGACAGCCACAGCCCTGGCTCCTGACCTGCACCGAGGTGGGAGAGCCTCCTCCCCTCCCACCCCGAGTACGCCACTCCGCGCCGAGTCCTCATTCAGCCTCTGCGCACGCATGCACTCCCGCCCTCTGTTTGGAAGACTTACATTGTCTTTATACTAAACTTATTACCATCAATGCAAGTTCAAAATACCTTAAATGTTTATTATCAGAATACCAGCTTTGAACAACAGGAGATCGTGCAATGCAGATGCAGGGAGCACGATCCTCCTTAAAATGCTGTAACATACTGCATCAGAACCACTTTTTGTTTAAAGGACCCTTGTTCTCTTCTTTTTTTTTGGACATACTACTCCCAGGTCAGCTAGCCAAACTGGTTCTGCATGTGGCACTAGGGCTAATAAAGTATTTGCAGAGGAAAGCCATTCCTTAAGCCACTCCTCTCCCCGCCTTGGCAGATGGGAAATTATGCAAACCAAGGGTTTAGTTCTGTCCTATCACTTGCAGTGCCCTGGGAAGCGCATATTTTAACTTCATGGTAAAAGTCTTATTATCCAGTCTCCTCCAAGCGTTACGACAACGGAAACACTCCAGCTAGTATTTCTTGATTCCAGAATTACTCAGAGGACAGAGTCCAGTCTCTATACAGAACACACATAAGCTTTACTTTTGTAGGCAATATACAGCACCGGCTGGTCCCTACGCGTCTCATGGTTTTCTGCCAAGTCCTGATATAAAGGCCAGTACTCAGGGGGTTTTTGTTTGTTTTTGAGAAGAGGAAGAGAAGAAGAAATGAAGTAAAACCTAATGAAGTAATTTTAGGAAATACATGAAACCTTCTTAAAGTTTTCAGAGTAGTTTGTAATTCAGGACCAGTACTGGAAAAAACAAAATCAAGCATCTATTTCTTTTCATAATATTTATCCGTATCATTAAACCACCTTATCTATTAAAAGCAACTGTATGGAAAACCAGCTTTAACAAGGGATTTTATCCTCTTAAAATTAAATACAGAGACGGTGAACAGTTGTTCAAAAGTTTTGGGGTTAAACCTATTTGTCTATTTGATTTAGTTATTTTTAAGAACGATGCTATATGCTAGTTAGAGTAGAACGCATTCCCATATAAGTTGAAAGTGGATTTTAAGAAAATAAAAATTATGCGCTATGTGCAGCTTTATTTGCAAATAGAGGTGCCACTAAATCACACCTTGCATGGCCTCATCCTCACACTTCCTCAGTGAAAGTGCTTGGAAAAAACAGGGCATATTTGCTTCTAGTTCACTTATCCCCACAATATTCCCTACTTTGGAGCTCTCTTGAGTTACTGGTGCTCCGACACAGAGTTGATTCTTAATTTCATCACTTCTCTTGTTTCCTCATTATTAGTCTAGCACAGAAATAGCCATGCCATGTGCCAGGGACCCAACTTTATCTTGGAAGTTGTCTACATGCCATTTTCCATTCTGAGAGTCTCTTCTGAAAAACCAGCCCCCTCCATCCCAATTTTAGGGCCATCTCACCTTATATCACATTTACCTGCAGAGTATTGATCCAGTGTCCTCCAAGTCACGGCCTGAAAGGTGCGCTCCCGTTTCTCGTAACAGATTAATCACTTGTATGCGCCTTTATGAAAGGAATAGAAAAAACAGAGAAAGTGTCTTGACTGGTAGGGCTTTTTTCCCTAAATCCAGCATTACCCATATATGCAAACAGTCAGTGAAAGTCCTTATATGACATTCACCACCATCACAGAAGCAATGAATCTTCTCCAAGGTGATAGAGGTAGTAAACAGATCTGCCCTCCCTATCAAAAAATCATTCACATACTAAGCTCATGGGAGTGTTACGTTCAGCTCTGAAAATGAGAGAAATGCATCCCTTTCTCTTCAAAGAATTTTAATTTTCTTTTAGTGCTAGCTTCATTTAAATCTTGAAATATTAGAGATTGAAACACATGCAAACAGTGAGGACATTTATTACATAGCATCATTCCTGTATTTTACAGAATACAATGCCTATATATACCAGTCTTAAATAACACATACCTCTTGCAGATAAGCAATGAATCTTTAGGTTAATGTAGAAGATAATCAGGTTTTTAAGTCTTCAAAATTGTGGCAAATATTCTTACAAACCTCCCACAAAAGCACACTTTTTCCTAACCCCCTCCTCCCAGTACCTTTATTATATATTGCCACCTGGAGTCTTTAGGAAGTCTTCCTTGTCCTTTCCTTTGAGATAAAGGGACTTTGAGATAAAAGTACTTAAGCACTACCAGCCAACTCCTATACCTTAGTCAGATGCTTGAAAAAGTCTATGGAAAAGGCCGCTCTCTAAAGGTGCTGCCGTGGGTAGAAAATAACATGACAGATGAAAAACGTGCAAAATATGTTTTTCACAAGTGACCTCATGAAAAGTTTAGAATTAGGTTCCAAAAGGAGGTGACAACATGATCCTCTGCTAAACAAATGACCTAGTTCACAAATCCAAATGCAGTTTTTTTCTCCAGAAAGGGCACGATGACACCAGTAGATCAGGAATAGTTTCACAGTTCCTCCTTTAAGTAAGTTGCTATACCATAACACTTCAAAATAAAGAGTTAGGCATACAACTGTAATAGAAAATATATGGGCTTTCCCAATCCATTATCTAAAAAGTCATCTGCATTAATTAAAAATAAAAAATAAGCTCACATACACGTTCTGCTTAATCCCTTGCATTTTCTTGGAGGTAGCCATGGGCCTTTCTATCTTAGAGCTGGACTAAACTGCTTATCTAATCCCTCTGCTTCTTTTTAGCAAACTCCACCTTGAATGAGAAGTTACTTTACAGTTATCCATATTAAGCCTATGTAAGCTTATATGTTTCATATAAGATCTTAATTTATAAACTAACAAAGAACTGTACAGATGCTATAGGAATAATTTTGCTTTTCTAAACATTGGTTATTTAACCTACCAGACAGATTTATTTAAATTGTACTTTGTTTCAATTGACAGCCAAAAAAATAAATAAATAAATAAATAAATCTTTCTTTGTTTCATGGCAAAGCATTGCTGGAACAGCATACGCTGCAAGTTTGTTCAGTTATCTAAAATATTTTCTGAGGTGGGTCCCTTAAAACATTGCTGGTCATCCACAAGCATCTCCTTGAGCCAGCAATTAATGGCATGGCTTCCTTTCAATCTGTGGTGAAGAATAAATTCTACATATATGAAATTTTTAGCTCAGTCTTAAGCAGAAAAGAAATCTGACCTAAAATAGATCAAAGTAGAAGATGTTTGTAGAACTGAACATGCGGAGTGTCTGCTTACTCTCCAACAACTGCCCTGGAATATTCCTCTTTTCCCACCTTATACTTGAAATCACAGCATGAAACTAGCACTTTTTTTAAAAAAAGCTATGCTATGGGACAGCACTAAAAGATAAAAGGCAGCAAAGCATGTAATGTTGTGTGGTATCTTCCCTCAATGTGCTCCCCTGTGAAGTCCGTATCTCTGGATTCCAGTGAAGAGCCAGGCTTTTCTCTTCCCCTGTTGTAACTATTGACTCCTCACTGGTAGCAAGATTCCCTCCAGAAAGCACATGATGGCCCACCTACACCACGCAGCGAATCATTCAAAATCATGTTTCTTGGTATAGTGGGAAGAAGAGGGCATGTTGTAACCAGTGCTTGTTAAGTGAAGGGTAAGGGAGAGGAAGAATAGGGATGAATAGTAACGCGCGACATAAGTGTTAAATTTAGTACTGTGACTATGAAGAGCAGATCTGTCCAAGAAAGCAAACGGACCACATCTCACATTCCCTTCACTCAACATGAAAACTATGTGGGAGGTAAGTCGCACTACAGCTTGTTCCTACTTGCACCCAAATGGTATCTGCATTCTGCAGAAACTGAAACCCTATCCAGAGTACCACTTCTGCTGCCTTGTACCTACCACAAGAGCATTATTCATATTTGAAGAGGCTGGTTGTGAATTTTCTGATACTGTTATGTCTTAGGCACACAACAGGTATTTGTCTTTACAAAATGTTTCTTTAAGTGCTGCTCTCCTGCGGCTTTACGAAAGCCTCACAAGGGTCACCGTTTGGCTGATCTGAGGTTCAGCTGATGTCATGAGCCAGGAGCTTCTTGGGAAAGGTTCAAATGTGATTCCTGTTCTAAGGTGACAGCACAAAACCAAGCACAGAGTAACTGCTGGACAATGAAAAGTTCGAGGCGTAGAGGGAAGGCCAACGTCACCGTGTTAGCCTGGGGTTCTTGGTTCTTGTCCAGCCCAGCCCCATCTGATGAGCAAAACCATAAGGTGCTATTGCCACCTGTGAACTGTTCCTGACTCTCCCTTTGCTTAGCGCACTGTTATGAAACTGTGGCTCTTGGTCAGACACAGGCTATAGAGACAACACTATTTTGCATATGTGACTTGTGTCAGCCTTTTGATACTACCACTGTCGTTCATCTGCTTTTTGAAAGAAAAAACAAATAGACAAAAAATGTTTCTATTTTCTCCTCCCTGATAGATTCCATTATTGATAACACTGGAGATAAAACCCCTGAAGTATACTAAAATTTTAATGGATTGATAGCGAAATAAATGATTCAGTGTGGTCTTCAACATTCACTGCTATGAGCGAAGTCTTAGTCCCAGATAAAGACATCTGAACTTTTACAAGTTCACAAGGGTTGTGGATTTACAGCAATCAAGGTGCCGCACAGTACGTATCATCTTAGGCCTTGACTTGGCAGACACTTATTAAAAGTGAATCAACTTCAAAAGGGATGAATCACACATGTGAAATTAACACGCATGTAAGAGTTTGCAGGATTGGGGCCTTAGGGTGCACACCTTCCACCAACTTGCTTTAAAGAAATGCAGGTGTAATGTATATCCAAACTTGACTGGCTTCATTCTTTTTAGTGCTTGCTCCCCTAGCAACTGCAATGGTTATGGCAGGATCATCTTAGTTTCACTTGTTTGGTTTTCTGCATGGTATCAGTGGGAATTTTATGCTCCAATACTGTAAGAACAGGCTTCAGTGCACTTCTGAAGTCAGTGGTGGTTAGATTCTCACTCTGCCTTAGATTTCCTGAAGTAATGTAAATGTAACCTTGCAAAATATCAAGTATTTAAATTCATATTTACGTGGGAGGTAATTTTACTGCCTCTAATCTGATGTTCTCACAGCACTGTATGAGCAACTCCCCATTTTCAACCTTTTACCACTGCTCTACAAGTAAATGGAAGTGCTTTTACTACATAAAATATACACAATTTTATTCAAGACATTTTGCTGCTTAGAGAGATCCTGTTATTAAAAAAATATTATTCTATTGTTTTGAAAATGAATTATCCCTTGAGGGTACTCAAAGAAATTAAAGGAATGTTACTAATTTTGATATGTCAAGCAACTGGCCTAAATTAACAGTGGTCTGTTTAGCTTTGTGCATGAAGTAAATGAGACTCCATGCAAATTGCAGAGTTACTAATGAAAAAGTGAAAATGCAGTAGTTTATTCTTATTTAGAAAGGGACTCCACATTTTACCATCTAAAGAAACAAAGAAAGAGTCACTTGAAGTAAAAAAATTTAAGAGACTATCATTGATATAGATCAAGTTGCCGGTCTACCAGCTGACAGTGCTACGTTAAGAAGCTTTTAAGAAGAGACATAACTCCTGATCATCTTAACAAATTATTAAATGGAAAAGAGAAGTCAGTCATCATTATATAGGTTTGCATACTAGGTTAAAAGGCAAGCCATTGAGAAATGTGACATAAAAAACTGGAAGAAAGCTATTTTTAAGATGAGTGGATACTGTACTGCAGTTAAATGCCAATTAAACAAATATTAATTCTCAGAAAATGGGATTAAGCTGATGCAATATTCAGTAAAATTGAGAAAGTTACAATATCAAACAGTTTAAAGCATTGACTGCTCATTAAAATCAGTTTTCCCCCTTCCCTCTCTGCCACTTTGTACACTGCATCAGGATAATCTCTTCACTTTCAGCACGCAACTGTTTAATAAATAGAATTTAAATATTTCTGTAGCAGAAATCTTTTTAGTGGGTATCTAATTACGCACATATACAGCTGTCTGATCTTTACGATTCTCCTTTATATGCTTCTCAGTGTGAAATGCAGTGTGAGCACACAGCAGATCATAAATACACATTTATGAGATTAGTTCCAAGTCAACTCTTCCTCTCATTTCAACAGTAGAAACAAAAAGAGAAACTGAAAATGGTTATGGTGCAGTTTCCTTTTACAATTCCCTATATCAAAATGGGTGTGCAGTTTTAAAGAGCTTAAGAGTCATAGTAGGAGTCTAATATAGGAGTGGCAATGCTAAGGAATCCAAACAACAAGCTCATGTGAAATTCCTCAGGCGGTAGATGGGTGCGGTAAAAGAAGTAGGTGCCTGATTTGCAGAAACATCTAATGGTATCTAATGCTTTAGCATTTTCTCACATTGGACCAGAGCCACCTCTATTCAACTGCGAGGTTATTTGTTTGATTTGCTGTTGGACTTGCTTTTGCTTTAAGACTTAAAGGGTTTGCCACTGAAGGGCTTATATATTCGTGAGATAAAGCAACAACTACAAAGCCATAGGGGACCATGCAGTAGGTATGGCAATAGCACCGTGTGGCCACACAGGACTTCAAGTCTCAAGTTAATAGAGCCTGTTGAGTTTTCTACCTCTGGTCGTGGAGACGGAAAAAGCCTTCGGGTTATTCCTGCAGCCAATGCAAAACCAGGACTGTCAGACCTCCCAGGGAGCTCACTCCAGCCTGACAGACCAGGTGAACTTGTCAACATTAGAAAGCTGTAGGAATATTTGGGGACAGGCATCCATGAAGACCATTAAAATTCTATCACTCCAAGCTCCTTTACAGCAAAAAGCTTCTCTCCTACCATCATATAGACTCAATATGAGATAAGGAGCTGAAAGTGGATCAAAGAAACAAGAAGAGATTAGGGCATGCAGCTTCTAACATGTTAGAAGACCAATGGCTCTATGAATCCCCAGGCTATATAAATGAAGTGTTTTAAAATTAAATTTTGATATCTGATAACTTTCATATTCTGTGCTATGGCCATTCCTTAGGACTATACAACATGGAAAAGACCAGTAAATCACATGTCCATGACTACCATTCAAGAACTGCTGACATCCAGAACAACAGGAAGAGGAAATCCACAAAGCAGGCAGAGCCATGCAGCCATCCCATGTAATTATGAGTGGGCGGAAGGGAAAAATCAAAAAACCAGTCACCCAGCAAGAGACTCAGGAAAGCACTGGTGAAAGGGAAAGATTAAAACATGTCAACCTACTGGTATGTTTTGTGCCCATTGAAACAGTCTGGTCTTGATGAGAAAGGGGAGGGCAGAAAGAAAACAGACAGCCCTTGGTCCTGGACCATCACTTCTGACATTCAACAGGAATGATCAGTTTGGCTCTGTTTTATAAGAAAGCCTCATAACAAAAAGTGGAGTCCTGAAATTACGGCCAAAGTCTTGGTGGGAAGGCAGCAGTAAGTTACCTTATGCTAAAATTTTGCATGCATACCAAGTTGTTTGCTTTCATTTCATATTATTTTAAAAAATCTTTTAATTTAGGATAGTCACATCCTTTGAAATGAAGCTGGTTTGTGTTATTTTAACTGCTGTCATTTACACATGGTTGTTGAGACGCAACAAGACCAAAACACAGGGATGGACTTTAAATCCAAAATGACAGAAGGCTTATAAACTTTACATAGAGTGGTGTATAAATTATGTTGTTACCTGAACTTAATCGCATTCATCAGTGGGGTAGATCCATATCTGTCTCTAGCATAAACAGTTGCGCCAGATGTCAACAAATACTCAACTAATGGTAGATGCCCTTCAGAGGCTGCAACATGAAGTGGAGTTCGGCCATCATAGTCTCCACAGCTCAAGTTTCCACCCTACGAAAGGACAGATCCTTCACATGCTAAGAAGATAATGGCTGCACATTAAGTTGTTGGTACAACAGTAGATGCATACAACACATTTTAATTCTGCCACCAAAACATTGTTTGACAAAACTTAAAGTTTATCTTGTAGTGTTGTTTTAGCACCAATAAAGACATTTATTCCACCTTCCGTATGTTCCCCCTCAACATGTATTCTCATTACAGCAACTTCAGATACGCTCCTTACTGCAGGAAGCCATACAGCAGCTTTGTGCCTATAGTCTGCTAATTTTACTTGTCTTAGTTTTTTGTTATTTTCAAGGTATATTTATCCTTTCTTAAGGCCCACTACCAAAGTCTCAAGAGTAGGGTAAACCAAAGCAAAGAGAAAAAAAAAAAAAGAGGTGTAGAAGATGATACAGGGAAATGCCCATTTCTTTTTCCAGGTATAACCCAAGCTAGAGCTATGGGGAAAGCCAAAAATCCTGAATTAGCACTGCACTGTGTTTTGCTTAAATATAATTTTAAAATTCTTTTTTTTTTTTAATCATGACAGATTTACATCCAAAAGCTGGATACTATGAATATGCATACAGAAAGTTAAGTGAAAGAAAGCAGCACAAACCATTTTAAAGTGTTCCAAGTTAGCAGATAAGAACTTGCATTTTAATCTGCTGCATTTTCACAGTTCAAAAGAAAATGTAAACAGCTGAGAACCAGATAGGGGAAAGAACATACCAGTTTTGAAAGGCAAAGACTGAGGAGCCTAGAAACCAATTGTGTTAGTCAAAGCACTTTGATTCTAAGACTTTGGTAGCTCCTTCCCAGTGAGCATAGCTTCCTCGGTCATCTACAGTTCTATTTAAAAATGTGTGTTTTCTACAAACATTTAATTTTAGATTACCATTTCTGCTATGGCTCTTAGTGCGTCTATGTCACCCAGTTTAGCTGCAGCACAAGCCAAAGGTGGAATTAATGCATCTCGGATGGCTTCTAACTCCTGAGAAAAAAAATTGAACATTTAATATCAGCCTCATCTCTAATATGATTGATGTCCAAGTCATAAAACACTGCCCTTGCTTTCATGTAACGTTTCCAAATTAGTCATTTGGTTATTTAAAAATGGTAGCATATAGTTCTTGGAAGGAAAGAAGTCTCATGATTATTTTACATTTTGATGGTCTCACATCCATGAAGATTTATATTACTCCCTGGCAACACTACAATTACCTGATATCTATATATACCATTTAAGATGCATGCACTAATTACCATCTCTGTCCTGCCATAGTTACACATCAGTATAGTAAGAGAAACGGTGCTATGGCACTGGTAGGAGTTAGAGAAGACCATATAGCCCACTCTCCTCCAGACTAGATAAACTTTATTCATGTGATTCTTCAGATATTTGTGTATCCTGTACTTCCAAACCTCCACTGACAAACCCCATAGGCCCCCTAAATATCCTCCCAGTTCTCATGCTTACTAAAGAAGAACCATATATTCATATTCATTAGTTACTAAAATTCCCATCTTCCCTCAATCCAAGCCAAGAAAAAATCAAATACTTGTATCTTACAACCAATACTATATGTTCTGGTTTTTCTGTTGGGAGGGACTAATATTAAATGCCACAAATTACACTTGTGTAGTGCTTCCTTAGTATCAGCCTTCTATGACTGCAAATACAATTAAGCTGTTCTACCCATTATTATTTGGATTGCTCCAAACTGTCAATACATTTGACCACAAAAATACAAAGCACTTTTTCATATCGATACCCTGAATTACAGCAACAGGCTGAGGCTTGTTATTGCAACCAGCCAGCCAAGAAAATAAACTCAAGATGGGGCTACAAAGAGGGGAAAAAAAAAAAAGTTAATATGTTTTTAATTAAAACCATTTTAATGTTATGCTTGTCATTGTGGCCTTTCTCCCTAACCCAACTGGTTAGCTGGGACACTCAGTACTAAAAAAATAATATAATAGCCCCAATGTTCCATTTTTCTTTCAGCTTTGCTGTTCATCTTTAAGGTAGGTTCATTTAACTGAGTTTACAGCTTTACATGAGCTCAGTTTTAAATATTTAAGTATATACCTCCTTGCTGCTGATACTGAGAGATCTGGCAATCACTTGAATAAACTTGCTATCTCTCAGGGAGATCTTGGCTCCTGTGGGTACAATAGTCATTTCTCCTCTTAGATTCTCACTCAGCATCTGAAAAGCAAGCAATCAAATCCTTTGTTAGCAGAGGAAAAATATGGTAGTAGTCTAATAAAAAACTTTAGGATCAAGTTAGAAAATTGTTTGGAGGAATTATGGAAACTAATTGAATGCAGACAAAAGATTAAAGAAATAGTTACTGTCGCATGAAGACTGCAAGTTTAAAAAGACAAAGGGGG